AAATGCAACATAAAAACAACGCACGGGCACGGGACTAATAAATATGAAATGTTCGGTTACTAAAGTGTTGCCACACTGCGGGAAACTTAACGGTCGAAGAAACACCACATAAATGAAAGGATAGATAGAAAGCTAGAACCAAATTTGTAGTACGTTTTCTTATAATAAAATTCAAAAAAGACTACACTTGTGGTGCATGGCATCGCGCCTTAAAGCAAATTGCTAAAATTTGAAAAAAATGAGATTTTTGAGAATTTTGAAAAAAAAATTGAATTCATTCATATTTTGAAATTTTAATTTAATTTTTATACTTTACTTTATGAATAAAATATACTTTAATACAATTCACTTTTAATTAACTTTTTTTTGTTTGTTATTGCATAATTTCATTTCGATGCTAATAATCGTTAAAACCAGAAAATATGATAAACTAGCTGTAAGTGGAATTCTGTCTTAAGGCAATTAAGGCATCGTGCCTTAAGGCAAATTGCTGGAACTTCCCGTACCATTTTTTTTTTTTAAACGGTTAACATTTTTGAAAAAATTTTACTTCGAAAAAATAAGATTTTGAGAAACCATAAATTGGACAAAAAATTACTTTTTTTTGAAAAAAAAAAATTAATAATTTTTTTTCTTTGAAAAAAAAATGTTTTCTTTATTTTGACATATTTTGGAATATCTAAACTTTTTTCAAAGCAATTGTACTGCTTTAATTGCATAAAGACGAAATATAAAGCGCGTAAGCGCCGCGTCGCCGTCTAACGCGTAAACATTGGTACGGAACCCATAGGAATGTAAACAAAATTTATACTTATTGTTAAAATCTCTATAAAATATCTGATAATTTGATGTGCACATGTCTAATGATCATTTTTGACCGCCAAATGGCATTTTATTTTACTTTTTTTATTAGATCTCCGAAACCGCTAGACCTGCCTTTATGAAAATTTGATCGGTTCTTCACCTTGTCCATATAAGTAAAATGTTTTTTGAATTATTAAAATCGGACGCTCCGTTCTCTTAAAAACTGAGTTACCGTTTTCGGCACTTTTTGCCCCGTATCTTCGGAACGGCTAGACCTGCCTTCGCCAAAAAACTAATCAGCACGTCTCCTTATCAATACAAATCGAATGTTTTTTAACTTCCCGTAGGGCAAGTTATAGTAATCGCAAAAAAATCGAAAATGAAAATTTTTATATATCTTTACGTTTCAGAGGTTTCTGAACATTTTGGCATACTTTAGAAAAAATTGATGTATGTGTGTGTGTGTGTGGTGTGTGTGTATGTATGTATGTATGTGCGTGGGTGTATGTATGTGCGGATACAAATTTTCGTCGACGATTTCGGGAACACGGATCAACCGATTGAATAATTCAAAAAGCATTCGATTGTATGATAAGGAGGCGTGCTGATTGGTTTTTGGCAAAGGCAGGTCCAGCCGTTCCAAAGATACGGGGCAAAAAGTGCCGAAAACGGTAACTCAGTTTTAAGAGAACGGAGCGTCCGATTTGAATAATTCAAAAAACATTTTACTTGAATTGACAAGATGAAGAATCGATAAAATTTTCATGAAGGTAGGTCTATCGGTTTCGGAGATATGGAGGAAAAAGTAAAAAAATGAGCCATTTGGCGGTCAAAAATGATCATTAGACATATGCACATCAAATTATCAGATATTTTATAGAGATTTTAACAATAAGTATAAATTTTGTTTGCATTCCTATGGGTTCCGTATCAATGTTTATTCGTTAGACGGCGACGCGGCGCTTACGCGCTTTGACATTTTGTCTCTATGCAGTTAAAGCAGTACGATTGCTTTGAAGTTCAGATCTTCCAAAATATGCCAAAATAAAGAAAATATTATTTTTTCCAAAAAAAATTTTTTTTTTAAATTTGGTATTCTTAAGTATTTTTTTGTTCAATTTATAGTTTCTCAAAACTCTTATTTTTTCGAAGTACATTTTTTTTAAAAATGTCAATCGTTTTTAAAAAAATAATAATTTTGGTACGGGAAGTTCCAGCAATTTGCCATAAGGCACGATGCCTTAATTGCCTTAAGACAGAATTCCACTTACAGCTAGTTGAATTATTTAAATCGGTTGATCCGTGTTCCCGAAATCGTCGATAAAAATTTGTATCCGCACATACATACACACATGTACATACACAAACACACATATACATTCATTTTTTCTAAGGTATGCCAAAATGTTCAGAAACCTCTGAAACGTAAAGATATATAAAAAATTTCATGTTCGATTTTTTTTTGCGATTACTATAACTTGCCCTACGGGAAGTTAGATATCCAAATACTATCTAGTTCTTACACAATTAATTAAGAATTATATTCTTTTCTTTTTCGGTTAAAATGACAATAAGACTACAAGTACTTACACGAAATAATGTAAACGTCAGCATGGCTTAAATTATAAAATTTTTAATTATATTTGTAGTGTAGGGCGGGGCACTAAGGTGTAACTTGACTAAGTAATTATACTGTCCAAACCAAATTATCACACTGCAGTACAACACATAAGGCGTATCAAGCAAGTAACTATCAAACTATCCTAATATCAGTATAAATACTAATTACAGAAATGTGATTTTACTGTTTTTCTAAAATTTGTCATCTGTCCCTTTTTACTCGAAAGACCGGGTACATAGGGACAGCTAGGGGACAAACAGATCCAATGTCTAAATTTAAAATTTGAAACAATTTTATGAAATTATAGCTATATTACTCAATCAATGCAAAAATATAAATTTGACGGCCACATTTTTTTGTAATTATACTGTCCAAACCAAATTATCACACTGCATTACAACACATAACGCGTATCAAGCAAGTAACTATCAAACTATCCTAATATCAGTATAGTTCCTAATTACAGAAATGTGTTTTTTACTGTTTTTCTAAAATTTGTCATCTGTCCCTTTTTACTCCGAAGACCGGGTACACAGGGACAGCTAGGGGCATATAATCTCGAATTGCTTTTTAGTCAGAAATATTCACCAGCACAGTTGAAATAACAATAAAATTATTTATTTCTATTAAAATTGCTTCTTTCAATTTAATTTATTTTTTATTCACTACTTTCTTTCTATTAATAATTGTTTTATAAAATGTATGGTTGTTTTAAGTTATTTTCAACAGTTTTTATACCCTCTTTTAAAGCTTACTCGTGAGTGGTGTAAAAAGGACCAACTAAACCTTTAGCCTAAGAAAATTAATTTAAAAGAAATTTTACAAGAGAAAAATTAAATTATTAGTTATTTGAGATTCAAGATCAAGGGAAATACAGTGCTATCTCTGTAAAAATGTAACCATAAAGTTTTTATTTTGTATTGGCTGAATAATGTAGCTACTATTTTGTAAAATTCCTCTAAAATTTTGTCTCATTTGACTCTGCCTATGGGGTGAAGAGAACCAGGTAACGGTTTTTTTTAAAAGCAGCAAAAAAGACACATTTCTACAATGACAAATTAGCTGGGAGTTTTACTGAACATAATCAGATAGTTTTTGGTTTAATATTTGTTATTTGTTCTGATATAATTGGTTTGGAATTCACAATATAAATGCTCAAAGTCAAATTCGAATTTGTCAAAAGTAGAATCAATCAGCCAACGAGTAGCCTAACAAACATTAGTAAAATTAATTACTATAACAGATCATAAGACATCAAAGTTTTGAATGCTGTGCAAAAACAATTGTATTATATTTATTATAACATAAAAAACGTGCTATTACTAAGTTACTCAGCTCTCGTACAGTATAACAAATCAGAGACAAAATAAAAATGAAAAAAATAGAGAAAATCGAATGCGATAAATAAACGCAAACGACGCGAACAACGTTTTTCGGAGGCCCGAAATATTATTATGTTTTGATGAGATGTAAAATAAATATTGAAACGGCGGCGGCGAGCGATTCTGCGTCCGTGGCGAAGGCCTCGACTTTATTGGCTCGAAGGGGTGATAATAAATCATTAAATCCGTATTATGTCTTGCGGCAACCGGCGACGATAGCCATATAACGCCATTTCGTTATTTGAATGACACGTCCGAAAACAATTTTGCGTTCATTAAACGGGGTATCCGGTGCGAGGAACGCTTTTTGGCGCATGCATGAGCTCATTCGCATATATTCGCAGTTCGCACTCGACATTTGGAAAGGTTACTCAAATGTTAGAGAGGGCCCTGCACGACAGGAGTAGCCATCGAATTGTTCCGAGTATAATTGACAGACGATTACGACTGACGGACAGGAAACGGCTATTTGATATAAGGACACACGCGGCAGGTTGAGGTGCATTATACTCAATGATCTATCTACCCTAGTAGAAATGAATCGTGGCGCAATATTGTACTTTTTATGGGCTCTATATTGTTTACCAATATTGCTATAATATTATTCTGTTAACATTTTCCCATATAAATCCAATATTAAAACCAATAAAGGCCCCATATAAAACCAATATTGATAAACAATATTAAAATCCCATTCAAAACCAATATAAGCTCAATATTGAGAACCAATATAAGATTAATATAAATAAACAATATTTACCCTATATAAAAAACCAATATAAGCTCAATATAAATAAACAATATTTACCCCAAATTCATAATTATTATTTAACCCACATTTAAAATATATTAAATTAATATAGAAAAACAGTATTTAACTCATTGATAATAAAAGTTTATTTATTCTAAATGAATACATACATTTTTAAATAGTTTTGTATTGAATCTTGATATTTTTATTAAAATTTACACATTATTTTATGATAACAAGATACAAAACAATCAAAATATTTTCAGTCATTATAATAATTTAGAGGATTTTAATGATAAATCATAATCATAATTTTTGTTAATCCTATCGCCGTAATTGTACAAAGACCAAGCCATTCAAACAATTTGCAGACTTAATTATTATTTCGATGTTTATTTTTATTTTCACACATGTTTTAACATTTTCTTGAATTCGATCATGATTACACCTGAAATAAGATAAAATTTATTAATATTTTATAGCAATATTTTCGAAATATATTGATTTTATAAACTCATAAATTCAATTACTTAGCTTTTAGCAAAAAAAACATTTCAGGCATTATTTTGCAGTAAATATAATTGTAGTTTATCTAAAACTCATATTTTCTAGAACTCTATCACAGTCAAATCTGAAATAATTAAAAATACAGTAAATAGAAAATTTTAACATTAATTTAAAACAGCACAATTATAGTTTTAAATTAAAACAAAAAAACTATTGTTGGAAATACGAATACCAAATATTCAAAAGCGATAATAAGTTATTGAAAAGTCTTCATTTAATAAGTTTGTTAATATTTTTATTACCTTTTACCAAATCCATTCTTGCTATGTGATAGTTTTTATATTACAGCTGATTTTACATCCATTTCAATTTAGTCAATCTAGAATATATAAAATACATCATTGTTTTCTAAATATGTATGTTGATTTATATAAGTAATAAATATACTTACGTGCTTTAAATATAAAACTCAAAATTATGTTATTTAACCGCTTAATTTTAATTATAAACTGTTCACAAAATAAGTTTTTAGCAAATTATTACATATTTGATATCATAGATCATTTTATTATTCACTAAATATTCACTCAAAATTCACGAACTAAGACTTACTATATTTTATGAATATTTTTTAATATTATAGTAAATTCTAAATTCAACAAGAATTGCTAAACGCACTGCGTAACAAATTTCAGTCTACTGAAAATTACGAAACTCTGCTTGGCTTGCGCTTTGTTTGATGGTGTAGGTGTAGCATTGTTAATCAAAGGGCGGTTTTTATGTTTTTGTATTTTATGTTACGAAGTATACGCTCATTAATTTGTCGTTATTAGTTTATTCAGTGTAGTAGTCATTAAAAAAAACTTTATATATAACAAAGTTTATATATAACTCTTTTTTCATTCATTTCAATATGAGATAGTTAGTAAATTACATAATCTGTGAAACGTTAGTTAGAAAATGTTCAAAACGAAATTAATAAAAACGCCATTAATTATTATTATATCAAATATGTTTATATTTATAAAATTTTAAATATTTAGATTTATTATTGATTTTTTTCTGAATTATATAAAATAAATTTTATCTTCACAAAACAAAATTAATATTTCACTTATTTTATTCTACGTTTTGGGCTTATGGATTCTTTTCTTCTTCAAGAACTAACCAACAAACATTTTTTATAATCACACTCTTTTCTATGTACACAATAATAAATTTAAAAAAATCTTCGTTTGAATTTAAGTTAATTTTTTAATTAAACTTTTACTCTTAAATAACATTAATATAAATAATAAACTAGTATAGTAATATAAATAATAATTGCTATCAAGAAGATGTAAGAATACGTATGTAATTAAAACAAAAGTGCAATGACATAATATTTGTTCATAAAATACGTATAAAATAATTTTGGCCACAACTGACACAGTCAGGTAGAATATTTCGTCGTAGGACAAAGGACACGCATAGAAGAAAGGACTCGCATCGTACACGAAGTGAGATAGTCTTATACAAACATCGGTTATATGAAAGAAAGAAGAGACACTCTTGAGTAGTTTCTCAAAAACAGATGTTCGTACATATATATGGTATGGTCATACATACATGTATATATGATGCAATTTCAGAAATTTTTATTCTATGAATAAATATAAAACGTCTAAATTTATAAATATAAATCGATATATTACTAGCAGATATAACAGATCTAAATAATATTAATACATACCAAACCAGGGTAAAACAAATTTAAGCAAATCATGTGACTAATCACAAAATTTTTTTATTTAACTTTTATTTTATTCGAAGTTTTGAATTTTTTTCATCAAACATTTTGTTTACATTTTTTTCTCGGTTACTCACATTATTTAAATTTAATATATGCAAAAGTATCAGAATATATATATATATATATATATATATATATATTCTGATACTTTTGCACTATTATAATCTTGTATAATTTTGTTTTTGTTTTGTTTATTGAATGATGGCCATACTTACAATATCGTTAAATAATATAGTTAATAAATAAATACAGTATAGTTAAATTATTTATTGCTTTTTTAACTTCCCGTAGGGTAGTTATAGTAATGAGACGAAAATCGAAAATGAAATTTTTTGCATATCTTCACGTTTAATAATGGATTAATTAATTTAGCTATTAATTGATTAATTCTGATCAAAAATATGTAGAGTTAAGAGTCACCATAGATGTTTTTGGCGCTAATTGATGATTTAAAATTGATTATTTTCTTGACCAATGTAAATGTTACTTATTTCCCAATGTAAATGTTCGATAATAAAGAAAAAATAAATGTGAATATAATATTTACAATTTATATTGAATTCATATAAAATTTATATCAAACTATTAATTACGATCGAGCTGATCGAGCTATGTATTACTAAGATATTATCAAAGAGTTAAATTCTGTTTTCTATATGAATTAAATAATATTTTTAAATATGGGTTAAAATAATAATTTTGAATTTGGGGTAAATATTGTTTATTTATATTAATCTTATATTGGTTTTCAATATAATTTCAGAAAAAAAATGTATCACCCCCACATTTAAAATTCATATTGAATTTATAACAAATATGTATCAAACTATTAATTCCAATCGAGCATATGACTTTTTAAAAACTTTAATCATGATTTTGGTGCTAATTAATTATTTAAAGTTGATTTTTTTCGTAACCCTTATAAAGACCACATATTTTCCAAGTTCGATAATACTGAAGAAACGAATCGTGGTTGCCCAGAAAAAAAGCATAACCCCCACATTTAAAATTTATATTGAATTTATAAGAAAAATGTATCAAACTTGTAATTGCGATCGAGCATATGACTTTTTAAAAGCTTCAATCATGATTTTGGTGCTAATTAATTATCTAAAGTTAATTTTTTTCGTAACCTTTATAAAGACCACATATTTCCCAAGTTCGATAATACTGAAGAAATGAATCATGGTTGCCCAGAAAAAAATGCATAACCCCCACATTTAAAATTTATATTGAATTTATAAGAAAAATGTATCAAACTGTAATTGCGATCGAGGATATGACTTTTTAAAAGCTTTAATCATTACTTTGGTGCTAATTAATTATCTAAAATTAATTTTTTCGTGACCTTTATAAATACCACATATTTCCCAAGTTCGATAATACTAAAGAAACGAATCGTGGTTGCCCAGAAAAAAAATGCATAACCCCCACATTTAAAATTTATATTGAATTTATAAGAAAAATGTATCAAACTTGTAATTGCGATCGAGGATATGACTTTTTAAAAGCTTTAATCATTACTTTGGTGCTAATTAATTATCTAAAATTAATTTTTTTCGTGACCTTTATAAAGACCACATATTTCCCAAGTTCGATAATACTGAAGAAACGAATCGTGGTTGCCCAGAAAAAAAATGCATAACCCCCACATTTAAAATTTATATTGAATTTATAAGAAAAATGTATCAAACTTGTAATTGCGATCAAGGATATGACTTTTTAAAAGCTTTAATCATGACTTTGGTGCTAATTAATTATCTAAAATTAATTTTTTTCGTGGCCTTTATAAAGACCACATATTTCCCAAGTTCGATAATACTGAAGCAACGAATCGTGGTTGCCCAGAAAAAAAATGCATAACCCCCACATTTAAAATTTATATTGAATTTATAAGAAAAATGTATCAAACTTGTAATTGCGATCGAGGATATGACTTTTTAAAAGCTTTAATCATGACTTTGGTGCTAATTAATTATCTAAAATTAATTTTTTTCGTGACCTTTATAAAGACCACATATTTCCCAAGTTCGATAATACTGAAGAAACGAATCGTGGTTGCCCAGAAAAAAAATGCATAACCCCCACATTTAAAATTTATATTGAATTTATAAGAAAAATGTATCAAACTAGCAATTGCGATCGAGCATATGACTTTTTAAAAGCTTTAATCATGATTTTTGTGCTAATTAATTATCTAAAGTTAATTTTTTTCGTGACCCTTATAAATACCATATATTTCCCAAGTTCGATAATACTGAAGAAATGAATCTTGGTCGGCCACAAAAAACTTGGATTTCGCCCACATTTAAAAATTATGTATAATTCGTGTAAATATAAAATTAGAGGCGTAAATCAGATGGGAAACATGTTTATTATTTGTAATAAACCATATAAAACACTTTTCCGATGAATTTTCCAAATTTTCCATAATTTTGAAAACAAATATTGTCCGGTACATTTAAAGACAAGATTCGAATATTGCGCCACGATATTTTACCCCTCTAGCCACGATACATTTCTACTAGGGAAGTTGCCTGATGTCAGGCTATGGCGGTAGCGGGAATCGAACCAGCGAACCCGGGACTAGTTGGTGCTAGCCGATATCGCCACCGCTGGCCCAAAAGCTAAATAAATGATGTTTCAAAAAATTGAAAAATTTTTCCGCCATCATGACAGTAAGCATTTTATTCTTGGCCCTTCCAGTTACAATCGCAACTGCCAAAAAGAAATTTTTCGAAATTAAAAAATTACGCGAAAACTTTAGAACGTCTACCAGACCTAAATACAGAAACTTTAGAAAATCTATAACCTATTATCTAATAATTAAGTTTTACGAAAAAATGCAAGGAAAGTAAATATATATATGGAATCATTTGTTAAAAAAATCAGAAAATTAGAAAAAAATAGGTAGATAAATAAATATTCTTTTAAATCTATGTATTTTTATATTTTGTAAAAAAAACTTTTTATTATGGAGCTAGGCCCTAGATTAGGAGCAAGTTAGAACCTGATTAGAATTGATTTCAATGTACTCATTCTAACATAAAAAATGAAATATAACAAAAATAATTATTACAGTTAACGCCCGAATAACACGGTAGTTCTATAACGCGAATTCCCTCTAACACGATTTAAGAATTGAGACCATCCCCCTCATAATACGGTACATTTAAAGCACGGATATGCTGTAACAGTATTTGGGAATTGATCAATGCCATAATAAAATAAAAAATATAGTAAAACCTATGAAAATCAAACTTTATCTAATATAAATTTAGTAAAATCGCTATACTAGTGCAAAGATAACTAATTTCATATTTATTACTCGTACGTACTATCGAAAGAAATTCTAGGATTATCCGAACAATGTTTTCTTATTTCTGAAACAAAGATTTTTTAAATAAAATGAGCATGAAAGTTTAATAAAGATAACTTTGCATTTGTTAAATATATAAAGATCATTTTGCTAAAAGCAAGTAATTGCGAATATATTTTTTTGCAAAAAATAATGCACGGACCTGAAGGTAGTATAGAAAACTGGTCAGAGGATGAAGATATCTTGCAAAAAAAAAAAGGATCAAGAGCACTTACTTGTTAATTATGACAAAAAAATCATAATTCATATAATGTATATTACTTCTTGAAAAATAATAAACATCACAATATTTATTATAAAATTATGATATGTAGCATGTGTTTTAAAGTTCTAGGAACGTAACCCCTTTTTTGAACAAGTTCTTTGCCCCGTATACCACGGATTCGCATAACATGCTAGTTTTTTGGAACGTAAGTACCGTGTTATACGGGGGTTACCTGTATTTATGCAATAATGAAACATTAGTTTATCACCTTAGAAGCAGCATAAACGGCCAACATCGGACTGGGAATTAAGGCAGCAGTTGACGAAATATTAATAACAACTCCCTTCTTTCTCTCGACCATTGCGGGCATTACTACCCGACACATTCCAGTCACAGAATGCACATTACAGTGTACAATATCCGTAAACAATTTTCCTCTGCAAAAATAAAAATTATAAAAACCATTATTTAATAATGCATGCTTTTATTCGGTTTATGATAAAATGCGAATACATAATCACTTACCCGTCTTTAATATTCAGAAAATATTCAGGATATGGGTAGCTCATTCCAACATTGTTTATCAAAACACCGATTTCTAAACCGAGTAACTGCTTTTCAATGGAATCGAATATTTCTGATCCTCCAGTAAAATCTGCTTGTATCACTTTAGTTTGAACATTTGTTGCAGTCTCTTTTAAATGGAAGTAATTAGGAAAAGGTTAGATATTTTAAAACTATTAAACTTTTAACACATATTTTGATGCATCTCGTAAAATAAACTTCGCATGATCACAATATTTTGAAATACAACAAATGCATTTGAGAATAAATTAACTAAAAAATGGAAAATTGGGAATGGTATTTGGTCAAGATTTGACCAGGGCTTTTTCTATTTAACCTGGAAACCTTCGGGGTAGGGGATACAATTGTATGAGTATAAATACCTGTAACTTATAATAATGAAGGAGAGTAGCAAAGGTAACGAGAGAAGAAGGTTATAGAGTGAAGATCAATATATATATAATAAACTAAATAGTGGTTTTATTCACATATCTTATGGTGATGAAATATTTATAATTAACAGTCCACTTAAGATCAAATTAATCACAGTGATCCTCACCAGTATTGAAGCTAATTGCTCCAAGAATAACAAATCAAATTGCCCTAAAGGCAGTTCGATGAAAAATATCGCATAATATTACTTTGCATATATTTTATTATCTTATTGGATTTAAGTGAAGTGATTTTGATTTTATTGTTGTGTCTTAAAATTTGGTACATTCATTTCCAATTGTTTCATAATTTCTCATACCAGACATCCCTGTCAGACAGTGATATGAAAATATTTTATCAACAAAATAAAAAAAAAAGTTTCCTCAAATGTGTGTTACCTATTTCTTTGGCAACGCTCTCCAACTTCGACATAGTTCTGCTTATAAGTACTATATCCATTCCTTCTTTGGCTAACTGAAATATTTTAAAAAAATATATAAAAAAAATATTTAATTTATATAAATAATATTCAAAATTAAACTACTTACTGCCATAGCGTATGCTTTGCCAACACCATCGGTAGCACCGGTGACAACTGGAATAAAATCAAGGTTTTAATTATAATAATTTAAAAAAAATAATTATAATAACAATCTTAATGCACTTTCCGAGCATTTCTTTATTATAGTAATAAATCAAAGAAAGTTCTCACATTTATTCTGTAGCAAGTTGTAATTTTCTATCGTTTAGATGTAGTTTTCTTTTCTTCATAATAATGAACATCAACATTTGGATGTTTCAGGAATATTAAATGTTTTCAAATACATTACTATAAATGCTGTAACATTGTCGAATATTGCTATGATAATCATGAATACATATTTTTAAGAAAACATAAAACATTAGCAGAATTAATCAATTGTCTTTAATATCTAACAAGACTTTTAAATAAGATTATTTTTTTTAATTACTATATTTGTTACAACTGCTAAATAATTAACATCTAGTAACAGTAATGAACAATTATATAAATTTATTAAAATGAGCACAAAATAAAGGATAGAATTTTTAACAAAATGATACCCGATCAACATACTGATTTAATATAAAATAAAAGTAAATAATAATAATAATAAAATTAATAAGTAAAATAAATAAAATTTCTGAATAATAAAAATAATACTAGAAAAACAATAAAGTAGAATACAAACAATAAGTGAAAGATAATAATAAATATAAAAGAATAACAATATTAGAAATAATAAGATAATAACAATATAATAATAATAATAAAATAAGGTTAATAAAATTGGAAAGTGTGGAAGGAAGGTGAATATTGGGGATTGAAAGTATTTTTTAATCAATCGCGTTAAAGAAAGAAAATTAATACAGTACATTAAAAAATAAGTGTTAGAGTTATACAATCCTAATTAAAATAATTTTTTATGTAAAATAAAGATTTTTCATTTCATTTTAAAATATCTCAATCGAAGTTCAGTCAGAAACTGACAGAAATCGAGATAAAAAATGACGTAATTACTATAATTCTTACCAATTAGATGTTTGTGGTAAGACGGTGCAAATTAAGGATTATATGTATTTTTCATATGTATTATAAAAGAATAAAAATTGACCAAAAAATTTAAAAGAAAATCTTCGTAGTCGCCAATACCTATCAATCAAAATATGCAGAAAACTGTCCAAATTTTCACGTCGATTGAGGCACACACACAGACATACATCCATTTACATATATTCATATATAATAATTATGTAAAATGCAATAAAATATTAGAAAGTATTCGCTATTTATGAAGGCATAATTGTAGAGACATAAAATTCATGGCAACAAAATTTCACCAAGCATTAGCAATGTTGGAAAAATTATACATTAGGGTGGTCCTTAATATTGCCATTTTCCTTGCTTGCAAGAGCTCAAATGGTTCCAATTTAATAAAAAACAATTCTCTGAAAGTTTTAGCTCTTAATATTAACTTTTAGGTAGTGCCCAATTCAATCGAACTTTGTATGGAAATAGCATGAAAAAAATTTTGAAAATTAAAAAAAAAATTTTTTAGGTATAACTTAGCAACAAATGAATTAAAAGTGAAAATTCGTGTCATTATTTATTGAAAATTCGACGCTCTGCAAAATTTTTGAAAAATTTTTCATGCTATTTCCATACACAAAGCTTTGATTGAATTGCGCTCCAGCTCTAAAACTTTCAGAGAATTGTTTTTTATCAATTTCGAACCATTTGAGCCCTTAGGAGCAAGGAAATTCAAAAATGCCCATATTAAGGACCACCCTATTATACATACTAAAATTTTCCAACAAAAAAGTAAAAACAAAATATAATAAAATAAATAATTTGGTTTCGAATCAAACACAAAATGTTCCACTTATTCGAAAGATAAAATATGTTAACTAATGCTAAATGTTAACTTCTTGTAATGCTGAATAATGTATTACTATAAATGTTACATTGATAGCCGAACTAGAAATAGATAAAACACAAGAATAAATACATGCTTCTATATTCGTAAATATAGGACAAATTCGAATAGCTTACCGAAGCATTTCGTTGTAATTATAAATAGAACTTTGAACTGTCTCATATGGAACAATAGTATATATTATACATTCATACCTGTACTGACCTTATAAATTAATTTAAATTTGTAATCTATGAGACCACTGTCTACGAAATATCGTTGACAAGACGATGTTCTAATATAATAAAAAAAACTGGTTTTGATAAAAACTAGAAATATTATACTTTCACTTCTGTTATATCACTTTCGTTCTCTGTTTGTAAATTTTTGAGACACAAATGACCGCGCTTGACCTCGACATTGCTTTCGATAATTATTTAAATCGATTTAAGAAAAAGTTTAGTATTAAAACACTATTAGGTAATTTGGTTTCCATTATATAAGCTAGATTGAAATAATTGTGGAGGCAATAAAATAATAAATGATATAAAATAAATCATGAAACATTTGATCAATAGAATAAGAAAATCAAATTATAATAAATTTTTATTTATATGTACACTATCTGTAATTAGTTTTGAATTTTAAAATCTAACTAGTGGTGTATGGCATCGTGCCTTAAGGCAAAGTGCTGGAACTTCCCGTACAGTAACGAATGTTCGAGAAATATTAAATGTTTTCAAATAGATTATTATAAATATTGTAACATTGCCTAATATTTATAATAATTATATAAACTGAATTGCAAAGTTGAAATTATTTGTTTAAAGTATGTTAGAACTTTATTCAGAATTGAAATTAAAATCTGAATTTTTCAATATACAATAAAAAAATAAAAATAAATTGAAACAAAAATTTTTCTCCAAAAGCAATTATGTTGTTGAAACAAGCAGAAAGTTTTTTGAATCACTCAAATCGGACGCTTAGTTCTCTCAAAACTGCGATTTTTTGCACATTTAGCTCTGTATCTTTGAAATGGCTGGACCTGCCTTTGATAAAAATTAATCATGTCTTCTCCCAATCATTACAAATTAAATTTTTTTTTTCAACGATGAATTTTTAATCCCTTGAATACATAATTTCAATCAAAAAATTTTAATGTTTAGTGTTTTTCAATGTACGTACTTTTTCTTCTAATACAATCTTCTGAACTAACTTGACCCTTAAAAGACTACTAAAATTTCATTTTTCACCATTTGCAAAAAATATTGGATCATATGTATATAAATGTAATAATGAAAATATGTAAAATTTATATTAGTTTAGCTTACAAAAAATCGGTTGATTCTTTTTCAGTTATATTATGAAACTTATTTTCATTTCAATTAATATTTTAGTTTTGAATTTGGATGTAAGAAAATGACATGGCAAAAATTTGTAATACATATAAGCAATTGCTAATTGATAAAATAAAATATCTATTCTTTAGGAATAAATCTGATACCAAGTTTAATATATTTTTTCCCCGAAAATTTAATTTATGGTGCTATATTTTAATTCAAAAACTGAATATCAACTTGAATTACACTTAAGTTTAACTTCACTTATATTTAATACATAATTTAATAAATTTAATATTTGAATAATAATTATTCAATTATTAGTTATTGATAATAGCCTAGCGTAAAATGTATTATAATAAAATGAAATTAAACTAAAAATATTATAAACGTTGGCTTTTATAAATCATTATAAATTGCACACAAATAGTCCATATCATTTTACATTTTTATACAAAAACGTAAACAGACAATAATCAAAATATTAAAATAATGTATATATTATATCTTTTACATACCGGCCCATTTTCCCATAGATTTAAAATTAATTTTTGGTTTCAGCATTGGTCCTAAAAAGTTGCAATAAATCCATGGCACAACAGTTTTTGCTAACTTGTATCCAAGGATAGATAAACATATTAATCCTGTTTTTTCTAAAGCGGTAAACATCCTTGATTTAGTATAATTATCTGAAAAAAGATCAATATAATATATAAGAAAAAATATGTAAGAAAAATAAACAAAAAAATCAAACACCATGATTGGAATTCAAAATATAACGTACAATATGAATAATATAAACTGGATAATATAAAGTTATGAAAGAAATGACTAAATTGAAATGTAGAAGTGGCTGGAGAAAATAATCAAAAATTTAAACTCACCTTCTAATTATAATTTATAATAAATATTGTGCAATAAAAGTTTCACCACTCGCATGTACCTAAAACAAGATTTTGTTATTAAGTATTAAAAATAACCTATGAAATAAACTCAAAACATCACTTTGCATAAACTCATTAAATTTTACCCACATTTTTTTATTTTTTATTATCTCACAATACATACGTTTTTATCATAGATTTTTTATCACGCACGAATAAATTTACAAATATCGCAGTATTTTTTTTACAATTGTGATATTCAGGTGCTATTCGTTCAAATGCATCACTAGGAATATCTTTTGATAAGGAAATCCGAAATGCGCAAGTCACAAAAAGAGAGTTCGTATTTTAGTGTATGTACATATGAATATGTATATGTGTACATGATCCCTCCCATACGAATTCATTTAAATGTATTTGTAGAAGTTTGAATGTGTGTACTCGACGAGAAATGCTCTCTCTCCCATAAATAGCTCAATGGCGTAGAAGAAGAAAGTCAGAAGTAATTAGTTTTAGTGTAATAAAGAATTGCTGCATCATAATAATACAATTTGTAGTTTATTAAAATACTCTAGTACTTGATCCACATATACACAATTAAATGGATTTTTTTTATTTCAAATACTGTTCAAAAGTTTTTTGATATGAAGTGAAATAATATACTAAAAAGTTGATTTTTATGTTTCGAAAACTCGTGTTTTTACATGAGACGTCAATTAATATATTTACATGTATACTTTTATATAACGCTCATTTGTTTGTGAAACATATTGTAAATTGTAATATTCAGCAGTTTGATTATCAAAATAGTATTAATTAGTATCATTAATAGTATTAAGAAATATTAAGTGTTTTCAAATAGATTATTATAAATACTGTATCATTGTGTAATATTTGTAAGAACTATATAAACTAAATTACAAAGTTGAAATTATTTATTTAAAGTATATAAGCGAGCTTTAGAACTTTACCCAGAATTAAATTAAAATCTGAATTTTTTTCGATATACAAAAAAATTTTGAAAAAAAAATGTAATAATTTTTCCGAAAGCAATTGTATTATCAACACAAGCAAAAAGTTTTTTGGATCATTCAAATCGAACACTTACTTACTGCCATTCTTTGTACATTTAGCTTCGTATCTTCGCAATGGCTGGACCTGCCTTTGCCATAAGCTAATCACCACTTCTCTCAATCATTACAAATTGAATGTTTTTGAATCATTCAAATCGGATACTCCGTTCTTACTATGGATACTCGATTTGTATTTTATGCACTCTTTGCTCCGAATCTCCGTAATGACTGGACCTGCCTTTGCCAAAAACTAATCAGCATATCTCCATATCAAGAGGAATCGAATGTTTTTTGAACCAGTCAAATCGGTTAATCACACACACATCCATTTTTTCTGAGGTATGGCAAAATGTTCAGAAACCCTGAAACGTGAAGGTAAGCAAAAATTTTCATTTTCAATTTTTGGGGGAAGTAAATAATATCAATTGAGTGACAAATCCGTAGATAATTCTATTTAACCCATTTATTTAGCTCAAAATAAAACATTGACTAAGACTTTTGTTTATAATAATAACAGCATAAATTATAATTATATTTAAAAATATAAAATAATGGATAACACTGCCCTAGGGCAGGTCCGTGAGCTGAACTCCAACTTAATTGAGGGATTAATTTCCCAAATACAAATTGGAAATTTATGATCTGTGTTTTTGATCCATATTTTCAAGTGAAAATGGCAATCGCTGCTGCACGATGTCAAGTTGTCTATAATGGGGTTCGAACTTGCATTCGCGTCCACATGAGTCCGTGAATTGAAAAGATGAAAAAATATATTGCATGTTAATAATTTAAATTTTTTTAACATTTAATTAAAAAAAATCTAGTACGTCTTTGAAGTGATTTGGTAGCGCATGCGTGCCCATCGTTTTATCGATTATATACGAAAAGGTGAACAAACATGTGAGCGCTGTGAAATTAAAAGCACGTGGTGTTTGATGTAGTTAAATATTTCGGTTATATTTAAAATTTTGAAAATTTTAATATATAATTATATGAAAACGAAAATTCTAATTAAACCTGAAGATACAGATCGAGTTTTCTTCACAGAGATTGACAACCATTGAATATTAGAAATGAACATATAACTATTAAAATGTTATATTACTTAACCAGAATTTTCACAAATTACATGAAAGTCATTTACAATATTTAACATATCAGATATATGATTGAATTTTTTAATACAGTTATAAAATATAACTTTCATAGTTCGTTGTGTTATCGATAAACCATGTTCTTATCTCGTATAATAGTGGTTTTATAGATTTTGATTCAATAAAAACTTTCGCAGAGATTTTTATTACTAATAAATCGATGTATTACGAAATATTTCAAAATGTTAAACAAATATTATCAAAAAAATTTATAAATAAATGAACGCTATAATAATATAAAAATAGATATACATGATCTTCTAACCGAAATGAAAGTAAGTATCTCACCTTTTAAGACCAGTTGCATTATGTAAATATAATATGTAAACAATCAAGTTCATCGACAAGAATTGAGGTTTACCAAATAGACTTTTTGTGATTTTCCTAATGCTAGTTTTAACTTTTAATAATAAAAAAAAATTATTCTGTGAGCAAAAACTTCAAGTATAGTGAATTAGTCATAATTGGATTGGACAACTACTGGGTTGCCATCCATTCAAAAATCCATATAATAAAGTTAAAACAATTACTGAATATTCTAAGTGTGATAGATTGTAATTAAAAAAGTTAAAAAAAGAAGAAGAAAAGAAAAATCTATTTATAATTTTCAATGCTCATGTGCTATTAAGAAATTTTCATATTTTAAAATCGTACAATATAAATACTATCAATAAATACATCAGGTAATTACGAAGAAATAAAACGAAATGTTACTCATTGTCATTCATAATTACGCACTTCGAATCTAAAATTTCCAAACAAACTTGGAAACCTAAATTTGAGGTAAATTAAAAAATTAATCTTATAACAGATAATTAAAAAAAATATTTTGAGTAACTTAACAAAAATATTTCGAGACGTTTTTATCTAAACGATTTTGAGCGACTTCTGAATTATATTTTTTTTACAAAAACGAAGGTGATAAGATTGTTTCAACAAACGTAATAAACAAGTTAAGTTATTAGATTTTATAAACTATTTTATTTTTATTAATTGCACATACTTCTTTAACTTATTTTAATTTTCTCGTCTTTTTAGATACAAAATTCATGCCAGTAACTTGAAATGCCGAATAAACATAATATTAGTCGTAAATATCTGTATCTTATTATGTTTCGCCATAATCAAAATAATATATTTGCTATATGTATAATTTACATGAACTGGAACTCAAGATGGAAATTTAATGGAAATTTGATTTGATCACATTGTCATTAAAATCACTAAATATACAAAATTGATAATATTGGATTTTTTTTTAATTTTAAACAGCGCATGGACTACTAAAAAAATATTCCTGGAAATATCAATATTTCCTACCAAAAAATATTACTCTGCATTAAATTATTATCATATGTATTCAAAAGCACACTCAATCAAATAAAACAAAAATGTTTAAACTTACAATTTTACGGTGAACTACATAAAGTATAATCGCTTTCATGTAAGCATATAAATAATATATTTTAATGACTTGTACTTTTATAATAAACCCATTGTCGATTTTTGCGAGGATATTAGCATGTCGAATACTTGAGTAGCGCACTTGGAAGAGAGTATGCACGCACACTTTCTTCGAAGATTGGAGAAAGTTATCTCTCTGCGCACACTATCAACGCATTGACTCAAACAATCGTGTTTTAATATTTACACTTATAGCAAAATAAATAACAATTGATCTGAAATAGCTTAAATTAATCTACAAATAGCATACCCTAATTTAAAACAAAAATGAGCTTCCATAAAGTTTCAATGATGTACTGTTAAGAATTTGGTAAAAAATACCCAGATAAGTAACGATTTCGCAGAAAATGAGAAGATGTATTATGAAAATTGAATAATAGATTTATAGAGAAATATATCATCATAATATAATATATAATAAAAAGTTGTTAAGATTTGACTAGTCTCTTCTGTAACCAAAAGCGAGGTTATCAGGAAAATTCTTATATATAAATACCTGCAGATTATTATTAGTAGTGTATGCATATAATTTCGAGCAAACCAATACCACTTCCGGTACGACGTTCAGGATACAAAAAAGATGCTGGATATGTTTTGTTCGAGTGTCCACGTTTTAGTGCACAACATGATGACACATATAAGGCGTTGAATAGAAAATTTGTACCGAAAGAGTAACACATATCTTCTATATCCTCCTACCATCCCGAAGAAGTAATGCAAGTAACCGCAAAAAACCGGTGGTTTTGTTATTATCCAGTCAGTCAAACTTAAGTTAAATATTGAAAAAAGTATCTCCTCCGCTATATAAAAAATAATTATAATAAGTGTAGATATAGAGTCTAAAGCCAAGAAGGTAAGGAGTAATAACATGTAAGGTATGATTATATCACACAAAATAAAGATAAGTTTTATCGCCTAATTAAACCAACTGATCCTCACCAGGATCAAGGTCTCAATAAAAACAATAATATGAATAAAAAATGAACTTATGAATACCCAGTTTCAAAAAAAAGTATGCATACCACTTTTGGCGCCTAACTAAAAATCAATTGAATTAATTTCTCTCTCGAAGGTTCGATGATCAATTCGGTCCCAACAATTCAAAGGCTTCATAAACGGTTTTCCATTAAATAACCTGTCATAAATAAAAAATATAAAATATACATCAAATTGAAAAAATATGCAAATATTATAGAATTAAAGAAAATATTAAAAAAAAAATAATATTGAAAGCAGAAAGTTCCAATAATTTATAAAATAATAGCTAATGCTTTCCAAAATCTAAATATTAAGATTATTATGAGAATCAAATAGATTTTTGTCAATCTTTACCCTTGTTTTGTGGAATCCTTGGCCTGCACTAATTTTGTTATCTTCAATTTCATGGGCTAAATATTTGAGTTCAATAAGATTGATAAAACCTGGAACATATAAACAATATATACGCAATTTATTGGTCTGCTGAACACAGCATTTTGTAGGCCCCGACGTTCCTGGATTTAATATATAAATTTTATAATTTTATATTATATAAAATATCATGTTACTTCCAAAATAACTTTATTACATATTCATATAATATTAACTTTAGCAACAATATTAATAATTCCATACAGACGAAAAGAAATATTTTACACAGTCCTTGAACATGTCTTTATGCACAGTTCTTTTTGTCTATATAAAAAAAAACACTTTCAATGTCTTTTTTACAATACAATTAAGATTAAGTTTTCACAACGCCGCATTTTCTCACAAAGAAATTCATTAGATATATTTTTCAGAATTATTATATGATATCAAAATGTCTATTTTAATCTATTGTATTTTCAGAAAACCTTCTCAAATAATTGCACATTTTGGGTTGTGTACATTAAATATATAACATATCATGATGCAATATTTTTTGCTTAAAATTTTACCTACAAAAATACATAAACACTTAAATATATGTATAATTTACAGCTGCATTACTTAGGTATACTTACAACAAACACACACGCCTTTCAAAAACATTTACATTGTTTATATTTGCAGGTCTTAAATTTGCATTGAATAGTACAGTAGATTTTAGATGGCTATTTAAAACTCATATGTGATTTTGAGTCGCAATTAAGTTTTAGATTTTATATTCTCATGTTCAATAATTTCAACAAAAATTATAGGATTAAAATAAGTACTGCTAACATTTAAGTGCTTGGTATTACTATAAAATTGTATATAAAAAATGCTGATTTATAATACAAAGCAATGCTTACATTTTCGATTTGTCACATATATATTAACTTTTTTCAAATACAATTTATCTATGCATTTAGTTTATCCATTTTCTAACTTACAAAATATAATTCTAAATAGTTCAATAAGTAACAGAATCTAATAATAACATAAAATAATAATATATAACCTCTGGACAGTAAACATGGTAGAGATTTTAAAATGACAAAACACATTCTTGAAAATGAAGTTCAAAACAATATCTAGTTTTGATCAAGAGTTTCTTTGGTTATGACTAAAGTTTTCAAACATCACGTAAGAATGGTAATAATTGACTTGAATAATGCTTCCTATCAATCAATTTTTATGTAAATCATAAAAGTTAAAATTAAACAGGAATGTCTGTTATAAAATTAACTGCTCACTTCCACAAAAATATTATTTCATCTCTAAATTACACATAGATAAAGTGTGCTTTTTCACGTTGATACTGGCACCTATATAGGATTCACTTTATGTTTAACTTAAACTAATCCGTATTTAAGTATCATTTAAAACTAGAAACAAAAAATAACATTTTAAATCTAGATTACTCAAAATGTTCTATATTAAAAATCATATGAATATATTAAAATAAATAAACAGCTAATATTTCATTCAAATGTTAAGGAAAATTAATATAACACATTTTTGAGGTAATCTAACTAGAACAGGAACAAAATTTAGCACTAGGTTCTTTTCACATATTTTATACATTTACCAGTAAATATTTATAAGTGCATTTAATGTACACATCTGGCTTATATATATATATATATATATATATATATATATATATATATATATATATATATGTTCTATAAGCAAGCCAGGATACTTTTCTCACAATAAGTCGCAATTAATTTTAAAAAAAGACAATAATCCGTACAACTTAAAAAACTATTATTAAAGAGATAATCATCAGATATAAATAAGCCAATACAGCCAATTTATCAACATAACTAATTTCATTTCATCCAGAAAAGCAAATTTTTTCTCTGAAAAATAACCCATTGTTTTATTAAGTTAAATAAAATTGAGATAAAATTGTTTTGAAAATGAATATAGATTATATGCAGCAATAGATTATAGCAAGTTATACACGTATAAATACAAAGAAATTAACAATTACAACAAATTAAATATATAACAAAAAATCTAAATTATAGCTAGATAAATTATATTAAATATATGCAATTTGGGTTTTCTAAATTATATATTATGACAAAAAATTAAAAGTACATAGTAATCATTCTTACAAAAAATCGTTACACGTATATAAGTAATCAGTGATTATGAAAAGAGTAGTAATTCGCGGATCAATTATTTTTTTGGTCAAAACCTTAATGGCAATCATATGTAAATTCAAAGAATCTTGAAATAGATGAACGCATTTTAAGTTCTCTAATACCAAATGATTGCTTTTTCGACACCCGTTTGCCTTTTATTTTTAGATTACTTTTATACATTATCAATTCATTAGCGAAGACTAGAACAATCTTTGAAATCGGCATTTAGAAATATTCCTATTTCCGATAATATAAATTATTTTTAGGCAAAACGGCAACTCATTTTTTGTTTGTTGTTTGACTTGGTGGATTTTTTCTTAAATTTGCGATTTTTTAATTGATTTATAAAATGTCATTTTTGGTAATACACGACAATGATTACGAAACAACTCGCCATGTATACGAGAGTAGCAGTAATTGGGATTTTGGAAAAAAAATATTGCATGAAAGGGATATGTACAATAATTTTAATCGAGACTTGACCAAATTATTTTGAGGTGACGATGACTCAGAAAAGTACCAGACGTATCAGTTGGTCATTTACCAGAGCAAACAATTAGCAGCCAGTCTGCATTTTTTCATAAGTGTGGTCGCGCGTGTGTGTTTATAATTTTAAATCTTTTTAATAAGGCCTGGACGCTTCTTTTGAACGCTTCAGCTGCACCTTAAGACGCTTGGTTCCTATTTGGAACCCATTCATGGCCTGGATGGCAGCCTGAGCGCTCGCCGCATTATCATAGGAGACGAAACCAAAACATTTCGACAGATTCGTCTGTTTGTCGATGAATACTTTGGCGGAAACAACGTGACCAAAAGGTATAAACGTGGACGCCAAATCGGTATCCGTGAATTCTTGCGGTAAGTGGTAGATGAAAAGATTGCCACCTTCGGGTCCTGAAAAATAATGCGAAATAAATTTTATTCGCATTAAAAATTCACACAACAATGTACAATAATCATAAATTAGTTAAATATATTCAAAATCAATCTAACATAATACCTACCATATACCTATAACAGGAATTTCCTACCAAATTAATTTGTAAAATTTCACTCGTCACTATCTGTTATACATATTTAAAACTTTGGTATTAATCTTGAATATGTAATATTAACCTTTTTGCTACAAGCGCCTACATACAAGCAGAGTGACCCATGTGTTGCTTCAATATTTATCACTCCGATTTAAATTTTTGAGAATTAAAATTTATTATTATACTTTTTAGCTTTTTAGAAGTGAAATTACACGCATAACACGGTATTTACGTTCTAAAGAACTATCATGCTATGCGGGACTACTGTAAAAATAGGGGTTACGTTCCAGGAATAAAAAAAAAATATTAAATTTTCTCAAGAAGTACTACACATTAAATAATTTATTTTATATTTTTACGTCATAACTAACAAGTCGTGCTATCCAACTTGATCAATTTCTTGAAGAGCAGAAGATTCTCATATTCTGAACATTTTTCTTCATTTCCATGGTATATTTTTTGCAAAAAAATGTGTATTCGCGATTTCTTCGATAATACAAAGTACACGCAATGTTACCTCTATTGAAACTCGGTGCAAATTTCATTTAAAGGATCTTTCTTTAACAAATATGACTAACTGTTCAGATAACTCTTTAAGCACTTTAAGAACTAATTAAGACATTTTATCGATAGAACCTATGCGCCGAATAAAAAACGTCAAATGAGTTATCTTTTGCACTGATTTCTTCACATTTGTTGAGCCATTTTACGATTTTATTAATTTCAGAATAAATAAAGTTTGCATTTCATAGAGATTGCTCAATTTTCACCCCGTGGTATAGCGAATGGTCTCAATTCTCCAACCGTGTTATAGCAAATCCGTGTTATAAAAGTACAGTGTTATACGGGAGTTATGTATATTAATTTTTAAATAACATTTTTATTGACAATGATCTGAAAAACTGAAAAAAGTGTAACAAACACTCGGGGGGCGTCCATTAATCATGTGAGGTTTTTAGGGGGAGGGGGGAGCTGACAAAAAATCACAAAATATCACGTGGGAGAGGAAGGGGTATGGTGAGATATTAAGTGTTTTTCTTAACTAATTTATTTAAAAAAGTTCAAACATTTTCAAAAAAAAATCAAAAATGTTAGTTTTTTCATGTAACTAAAAATACACGTAATGTTTTGTGGAAATGTTTTGTGGAAATTTTGAATATCACCATGTATCACGAAGGGGGAGGGGGTGGTAAAAAATTCCTTAAAAACTCGCTCACATGTTTAATTGACGCCCCCTTGAGTGGTTTACTTGCTCGTACAGCGGCGTCACACCTCCGGAAAAAACTCCCATAGCAAAAGGGTTAAAACCATTCAGACAGAAACAAATTTTTTACTAAATTTCCGCTTTACTTCCCTTCTTATTGGTTTAAAGATGTAATAAAACCATTCTTAATACTATCATCCCTAAATAATCCTCGCCAAGTTTTAGAAATCATTTTTCACAGAAAGTTCGAAACTCCGTTTCCATGTTTCCGGATAGGTGTAATATTTTACCGCATTGGGTTTTTGTCGAACAATTGTTCAAAAAGTGCAATTTTCTAAACTTAGAAATGTCCAAGTTTTTCGATAAGCCTTAACAAACCTTCAATCTGTTTGCCAGCCGCTGCTGCTGCAGCACTCCCAATGGGCGAATTAACGCCAACTACGGAAGTCGCCGTTGAGCCAAGATAAGGTTGCTGCTGCTGAGCATGCTGATGATGATGCACTGCACCTGGGTAAATGAAATGCATTAATTTTGTTGCAGAATTTTTCTGTACAATTTGTCTGAAAACAAAAGTAAATATATCGACTTATTTGAGATATTATGTAATTTTGCAATGATGGTCTACTCTGCGCGGTTTCAGGAAGCAATGCGGAAGCTATTTTTGACATCCAATAAACGCGAAAAATATATGCTATATATTATAAAGCTACGATTGCATTTTATGACAACTGAGATTACTAAAAAAAAGTCCAATTTATGAATGTTTATTCTATTGGTAACTACTGCTGCCAATATATTTAACTCCAACCTTCATATATTCTAAAGTAGGGAATGCAATACCGGTTTAACGGGATAACGAAATACCGGTATACCGCCCGATTTTTCGGCGGTATTAATACCGGTATTTACCCTAAAAATACCGGTATTTTCGGTATTTTTACATAAGCGCTTTTGATACATATTACACTCAAGTTTAAATTTCTAGGAACAAATTAATCTTTAAATTCCATAATCGCATAAACAGCTATATCTTTAACACTTTGGGGACGGCGCTGTCCACCTCAGTGGACAAACTTACTCTGTGAGGCACATGCTATTTTATAAACAATGACTCAGTTTGCATCGAATAAATTACATATAGCAGTGATAAACAGTATTGTATTTTGAAAATAATTTTAAATTATTTTAGTAGTATTTTTAGCCTTTTTCTTTGCTATATGATCTTTTTTTAATATTTAAAACGTACAAGCGCTTTTAAATATGGCAAACGACGAAATTTTGTGAATTAAGCAGTAGTGAAGAAGAGTTTCAAATAGGCATTCATACAGACAAATTTTACGAAATTACTATTCGAACCGATGATAGTGATGAATGTGATAATGATATTATCCAACCAACAAAAAGAAGAAGTTCGACAAAATAAATGAAGAGCGGGAAGACATTAGCGAATGTGCCGATTCCCCTTCAATAATCGAGTTTGACAGACATCAACAAACACCCCGACTACAAATACCAAGCAATGTAAGACATCCAATAGATTATTTTACTTTAAATTTTATAAATGAATTATTAGACAATATAATAGAAAAACTAGCTGTAAGTGGAATTCTGTCTTAAGGCAATTAGGGCATCGTGCCTTAAGGCAAATTGCTGGAACTTCCCGTACCAAAAATTATTATTTTTTTAAAAACGATTAACATTTTTGAAAAAAATTTACTTCGAAAAAAATAGATTTGAGAAACTACAAATTTGACAAAAAATTACTTAAAAAAATGTTTTCTTCATTTTGACATATTTTGGAAATTCTGAACTTTTTTTCAAAGCAATCGCACTGCTTGAACTGCATAGAGACGAAATGTCAAAGCTCGCAAGTGCCGCGCCGCCGTCTAACGCATAAGCATTGGTACGGAACCCATAAAAATGTAAAAAAAAATTATACTTATTGTTAAAATCTCTATAAAATATCTGATAATTTGATGTGCATATGTCTAATAATCATTTTTAACCGCCGAATGGCATTTTTTTTTACTTTTTTCATTAGATCTCCGAAACCGCTAGGCTTGCCTCCATGAAAATTTGATCAATTCTACATCTTGTCAATACAAGTGAAATGTTTTTTGAATTATTCAAATCGGACGCTTCGTTCTCTTAAAAACGGAGGTACCGTTTTTGGCACTTTTTGCCCCGTATCTTCGGAACGGCTAGACCTGCCTTCGCCAAAAACTAATCAGCACTTCTCCTTATCAATACGAATCGAATGTTTTTTGAATTATTCAAATCGGTTGATCCGTGTTCCCGAAATCGTCGACGAAAATTTGTATCCGCACATACATACACACATACATACACACACACACACACACACACATACATCCATTTTTTCTAAGGTATGCCAAAATGTTCAGAAGGTTTTGAAACGTCGAGAAATGCAAAAATTTTCATTTTCGATTTTTTTGCGATTACTATAACTTACCCTACGGGAAGTTAATTAAACCATTATGGCAGCAACAAAATGACCAAATATACTGACTAATTAGTGACATATTATGAATTCTAAAAGAAAAAAGAATTGTATTGTCTGTTCTGACAGAAAAGCACCAGGAGGAAGGCGGCGAACAACATTTTATTGTAAAACATGTCAAAATCAACCAGCTATGCATTTTGCAAATTGTCTTGAACGTCACCATTTTTTATAGAATAATCAAAATTAAATTAATATTAAAAATGTATGCCTTTCAATGACCACAAATTTTTATGAAACAAATTGCATAACATACACAATGAAATCAAGTTTACAGCCGGTAAAGTAGATTGTTTTGAAATCGGTGCCGTCCCGAAAGTGTTAAGTTTAAAGGATAAACAAATGTCATAATATTATCTCAACTAGTCATTAATTTGACTGAATATTTATTGCTTTCCAAGGGGCTTTATATCGTTTTATCTAATATAAAAATGTAAATATTATTGTAAAACATTGGTAAATTATGCTAAATCGGATACAGACAAAGACAATACAGTATAATAATGTAATATGATCTTTTATGAGATTTGGTCTTTCTTACTCATACGTTTAATTTTGGTAAAAAAAACTCAATATACACGATACTGATAATGAGTTATTTAAATTAGATATAATTTTGTTAAATTATTATTAAAAAAATAAACTTATTGTTTAGTTGAATATAGTTGTAGTGGTATATATAATTTTTTATATTTGTACTAGTAACTTCCAATTTTGTTTACATTTTTTTAAGATAAAGATAATAAAAGATACCGATATTTTACCTGTATTCCGTAAAATAAAAAATTACCGAAATACTAGTATTGAAATTTTTATCAGTATTGCATCCCCTATTCTGAAGTATGTTATTAAAACAGTTATTCATTGCCATCATACATCACTCTTCGTAACAATTGTACCATTATATATTAACTAATATATAGAAACATAAAAAATGTTATATCTATTGATAAAGGACCCGTATGATATTATATTATTTGTTGTTTTTGCATAGTCAACAAAACTAATTGTGAGAGTTACTTCTCGTTAACTTCGTGACTTTCAAGAAGGCAACTCAATCCTTGTCCTTTTTTAATAGTGAAATTATTTTATTGCAAGGATGCTGAGAATGGCTATTTTCATCATAAAACATATTGTAATCCAAAAATAAATGCTGCTTGATATCAAATTGATATGAACCCGAAACTATATGATTTTAAAATAAAAAATATAACATGTTTATATAAATGCTTAATGCACTGTGCATATTAGTATACGTAATCCATGGATACAAAGCAGTATCATCTTTACTAATTAACGAATGCCTAGTCTTTTAAATAGTACATGCTTTGCATTATTTCAAAAACGATAGCAAAAATATCATAAATAACAAATTAGTCTGTCCTAGAAATACCTGTCAGATAATTTGCTGAAGTCAGGTGAGTTGTAGACAAATGATGATGCGTCAAGTTTGACGCCACAGCCTGTAGTTGCTGCAACGACAATTGCGTGTGAGGCAGAGCAGCAGCATAAGAGGTCAGAGCACCGGGCGATAAACTATCAACACCAGACCCTGAAATTTGCCAAATTTACATTTTAGTTTACCTGTCGACGTAGACCATATCATCACAGTTGATTTAATCACATTTGGTTGCTACATATCCACAGGAAGATTTTTACTCACACCTCGAACATAAATAGTATGAATTTGAATCTCAAGAAATATAATTTCTCAAAAAATTACTTATTTTCATTTTATTTAATTAATTCTTATTCACCAAATAATTCAGTTATAAAATAACATATTTTTGGAAAACAAAAACGCTACAGATCAAGTTTGAATTAAACATTTTTGAATTAACCCTCCGTCGGTCGGGTTAATTTAATCTGATTTTTTCATTGATCGACAGCTAATGAAATTTTAGGAAAAGTCCAGAAATTTCAAGTCGATAGGATTACTAAAAGTTTTTTTCTTAAATTGAAGTCAAAAAAGGTCTGGCCAGACCACTCCGACCGACGCAGGGTTAATTTTGATATCTTTTGAAGCTTTTTATAGAAATATATCGATCAATGCTTTTCTTGACAAAACTTTACAGAGAAGGGGATGTATCAGTTTATTTAAATATTTTTTAAATTTAAATATTTTATTTAAAAATGCCGCTGCAAATATATTATCCAGAATATCTATTGTTTCAAATTCAAAAACTCAATCATGAAATATTATTTAAAAAATTGATTCACTTAATACTAATTAAAAAAATGCGATCCGTTATTACATTATTATCCTATGTACAAGCAATAATGAATGAGAAAGAAATATTTTTCTTGCTATTATTTTTTGTCCTTAGATTTTAATAACAAATTTGAAACAACATATAACGGATGCATATTGCATACCAATAATACTTGGATATCAAATAAATTTTGAAAAAAACAGCTAACTGAAATAAAATCATAATAACAAAACTAATCATTACATACAAATTCATTCTAGGTATAAAGCAGATTCATTTCTGACCACGTTTCTCACCCATCATGCAAAAATTTTGCCCATAACAATCGTCTTCAAATAATAAAATAAAAGTACATCACGTTTTGAATTTATAATTAAAATACGAGTTGAATTATTAGTTAAAACAAACATCGTCACATAAATTATTTACAAATTAAAAACATGAAAACAAAACAGATAGTGATGCAGTGCTATAGTTTGGGGTAAAAGAAGTAAATTCTGAATTTCACCAACATAATTTTCGGAAAATATACAACTCATGTTCACTATATGCAGATTAAATATTTTTGAAAGAAGCATAATACTGTTAAGTTGTCTTAAAACACAAACAAGTGTTAAAAAATAACAATATAATAATTTTATGTCAAACAAATATAGTAAAAACATAAAGAGACATGAAACGAATCACAGTTGTCGTTTTAAATTCTAATTAAAGACCAACAACATGGCAATGCTATTAAAAATAAAAATAATGAGAACGATTTTATATCAAATTATCTACGACGTAAAACACAAAAAGATAAACACTCCCCGTACTTTGTAGATTAGATTGTAAAAACGTTCCATAGGTTTATGAAGTAAATCAATAGAAACACGTACTTGAAAACAAAAAATAAAAACAATAATGGATGTAATCAAGAAAATTAAAACACATAACGCAAATGCACGCGAAAAAATGAAATAAAATAAACCTTTTTGACTACTTTCAAGATGACAACACAGATTTTGTTGGTCGCTTTGCTCACCTTTGCCGGCACTGTTCCCTAGAATGCCTGCGTGCAAATTTCAAAAAACATATTTTTTGATTAATAGCGTTTGGGCACAATATCAATCGATCGCGGTTTTCCTAACAAAAAAATTAGGTTTAAAGTTAGTTTATGTGTGGCTGGACGTTATTAGCTTTTAGGAAATCAGTGTCAAGTGATCATATTCCATGTGCTACTAAAATTATTTCATTATCAATTTTATAGCAAATTCATTTAGCATATATCACATAAGATCTTTTAATTTGAGTTGCAAAACTTATTTTTAGTAAGTTGTCCATATCTTGAAAGACGGTGTAGAAATCTCGTGATAAGTGTGTAGAAATGTGTTCACTAAATTACATATGGTGTTTATTGTGCTTTTAAATAATAACTGTTTCATCTATCGCCTAATCCTAAAAGCATTACTAAATCCAAACTTACAAAGTGAAGTCGCGGCGGGAGTGTTTGGTTGTGCAGGTTGCGTCATGGCCGCCAGCGTCACTAGATTCTGCACAGACATGGGCGCCAACAGACTGGTGGCAGCGCTGCCGTCTTGTTGGGTTGATAAGCCTGTAATAGAGATATAGAATATATAAAAAAATTCGTAATAGTTTCTTTGTAGTCGAAGCCGAAGAAAACTTTTTCAGCCTATCAATTCAATTCAGTATCAGACTCCTTACACTAAATCACCTGAATAATTATGAACCATACAATGTAATTAATTATGAACAACAGTAATACTAACCATAAAAGACATTTCATAAAAAAATAAGCGAAGCAACAGACAATTGTTAAAACAAAATGCAAAATTAAACGTTTAGGAAGAGCTGAGGAACGATCAAAGTAGTTTCATGGATTTTGAACGTTTGGTTCAGTAGTATCGACTGCTTTTTCCAACTGCAGTTATTACTTTGTTTTTGCAAAGATAAATATAAATACAGGTAACCCCGGCATAACACGGTACTTCTACAACACGGATTCTCTCTAACACGGTTTAAGATTTGAGACCATCCGCCTTATAACGCGGTACTTGTAAAGCACGGGTTTGCTCTAACACGATTTGAAAATTGAGACCATCCCCCTCATAAGAGGGTACTTTGGGGTTCGCATAACACGGTTCAAGAATTGAGCAAAGTTTTCACAGTATTTGATATATAATGAATGTACCCTTTAAATCATGTCCTGGTAGTGTTCTCTGGCAAGTAAGTTTGGATGATCCTCGAAGAGGCTTATACATTTGTCTGAAAGCTTTTCATCTATAGAGCATATTTTGGGGCATTCAAAATTTCTTTTAAATAATTTATTTTGACACCTTTGTAATTTTAACACTTTCGATTTGGAAGCTTATTCCCATAGTGGTATACTGTATGTCCAAGTTGGCTTAATAATGATGGCTTTGAACAAGTAAATTTTGTTATATATCTTTCTCGTTTCATCAAGCTGTGGACTCTTTTTCTTAATATTGATTTTATTGAAAGAAAGTTTAGAATATCGACATATTCAATTAGAACATTTTATTTAAACAGCAACATGAAACGTAAGTAACGCATAAATTTATCATGCGTCAGAAAAATATTCGTTTGTTTGCACATGTGACGAAAATAAGTTACTCTTAAGAACATGGTGTGTAAACGAAATCAACCGAAGTAGATTCTGGCAAAAGCAATGTTAAATTATAACCCAATCAATATAATTTTAGAACCAAAGTTGTCTCATTCATAATCTATTATGTTATCCTACTTCATATATGAGTAATCGTAAACCACTGACCTGAAACTATACGTGAGAATTTAAGAAAGTGCTGCATAAAGATTAATTTGAGTTTATCCGATTATCTTTAACGAGAGGAATCAAGTTATTGTAAATGTTACGGTGTAAAAGTGTAATATTCTACAATGGGATACTCTTAACTACACGTGCTCTGCGAAGCTAATGTAATCATTATATGAGCGACCAAACCACGAAGGTTGAGATACTGGAGAAAAACAAAAGAGGGATCAAGTTGCTACGTCTAAAAGAAGCATCAAGATGCATATTACTGTAATATTTATTTTAGGTTGATATATCATAAAATGACAAAAATACAATAATTAATTTATGAACATTTATTACAAATAAGCAATCTGAAGTTGCAAAAATCGTCAAATCTTTGAGAGAGTGGTGTATTCATTTTCATCATTGTTCCATTCGATAGTTCATGAATATCTCATCAGGTCAAAACATCGATTTTAGGTCTTCAATTTCTTATGAGAGCAAATCAAATAAAATCGACTAGAAAATTCAAATTAAAAAGACTACAAGCAAATTGAATATCAAGATTTGGAGAAGAAATAAAAAGCATGGTACTATGGTTGGAGCAAGCTTTATCCGAGAAAATCCGATGACAAAAACTATTTGGCGAAAAAAATCTGGTTATTATGAACACACACTTCAGAAACGATGCAATTAAAATTATTAGCAACTTCTAATACAGCATGTCTATTCATATTAGAAATATAGTATTTTCATATAATAATGAATTTATTATACGTTATCCTTACGTATTTGAATTTTCTTACTAGAAATTATAGACTGCTATATAATTATGTATTGAATCCATTTCCATATAACTTTGTCACAGTTGTAAGCATTAATGCCTGTAATAAATTAAAAACGTGACACCGGCGATACTTTTGCAAATGAATGCACGTAAATTCTCCCGGCACACGTTTCTCCCTGAAACTTCGGTAAAGAGCGATGTTTTAATTAAAACACCAAGCGGTCGATATTAGAAAACCCGGAAGATTTAAAATTAAACTTTGCGTCAGGAATTCAAGCTATTAGGGAGATTTCTTACGATCGCAAAACCCAAGTAAAAGATTAATTAACCTAATCAGACGCACATTTGGAACAAACTCGATATATTTTTCCAAGCCTTAGTTTTAGACATAATTATTGGAATACGCGCACTCAATGATTCTTTGTTGTAATTAATTCAATGTATATCCATTTGTGAGTATTGTACTGGTAATTGATAATTATTTTATTTAATGTAATTAAATGTTTACGAACTTTGAATCCATTTGAACTAAATTCAATGAAATAAGCAGTATTCTATAGTTTTATTTATTTTTATTTATTTTGCTTGTAAACTCGTTTGGATGACTTTTTTTCATTCAGAAATGAATATGTTGTTAAACTAGTTTCCAAATATTCTATGAGAAATTAAGTATTTTCGCATATCGATCGTACAATAAAATGGGAACTACGATTATTATATTTTCTATAACATAGAACTCGTGAATCAGTTGGATACTGATATTTAGCTGTTATTTAACTATTGTAAAATTAAATATATGATCATCTCGACTTCACTTTGAAACATTAAATTAAACCTGCATTATCAAAAAAAAGCTTCTCGGACAAAAATCAAAACTTGGCAAACAACAAAATTCACTTGTACGAAGCTATTATTAAGCCATTTTGAACATACTGTATATAATCAAAATGATCAGGTTCCAAATCAAACGTGATAAAAATTCAAAGATGCCAAAATAAATTACTTAAAGAAATTTTGAATGCCCCATTGAATTTACCGAATTGGTTAATACATAAAGACGCCGACATAAAAGTAATAAATAATGAAATATGAACTCATTCAGACAATCAAAAAAGCTGCCTCTAGGATCATCCAAACATACTTTGCCAGAAAACCACGCCAGGACAAGATTGAAAAAAATGCATATTTCATTAAAATATGCCAATTTTCAAAATCTCTGACAATGACCAAAAGATTTTGTATTTAAAGTAATTTTTTCCATACAGTTTTACTTGTCGTCCATTTTATGAAAGGTGTAAAAATTATTATATAATAAAAAAGAATTAAATCTGAAACAATGAATAGACTGATCACTTGCATATTTGTTGACTGCTAAAACAATATTCTGAAGCTATTTTAAAAGAGTAATAACTATTGCTTTGGAGGTGAACTGATGGTGATAAGTACTCTATTGGAAATCTGATTATTTAAACAACTTGTAAACTCCTTCCCTACAAAGTATAATCGCACTACTCCATATTCGCAAAACTTAATCTAAAATAAATAAACAAAGAGATAAGTGCCATATCTCAATACGAACCATCGAAATTACCTTGCAACAATTGTTGCTGCAAGCCGACAGCTTGCAACTGTTGTAAAAGCTGTAGTCCAGCTGCTGCCTCAGTTCCAGCTGGTTGCGTACCAGCAGCTGTCGCAGTTTGACCAGCAGTGACTGCTCCAGTTTGGGCATGTAACAATTGTAGCTGTCTGGTTGGATGACCAGCGATTGCGGCGTTTGAAGCAGGTAATATAGCTGGCGCACCAGCTGTACCGTTCGTTGCTGTTGCTGCATTCACCTAAGGAAAAGGATAAATAAATATATGAAAAACTTATTATTGTCGGTAACAAGGTGGCGGGAATAGAACAGTCTGGAGAATACCCGGCTTATACGCCAGGGATACTCCGTTCGAGTCTTTGTGCTGACGTAGAATTGTCATTTAATTTGAATTAGAAAAAAAATTATAAGTAAGAGGAAAAAGCAAGATTTGCAATCAAATAAATATTTTACAATGAATATAAAATCTCATAATATAAAACCTAATAAATATATGGAAATTATAAATTAGGTAATTATTTATCTCACCCCGACAGTTGCACCACCGGCTGCCGCCAGACTCCATAAACTAGCGTGCATTTGTTGCAGACGCTTTTGGTCCTTCTCTTTTTGGGTGTCGGCGAATTTAACAACAAGTGGGGCGGAACAGCCCTCCATCGTTTGGCTTTGATTCAGTGCCTGGAAAAAGTTCGAGATTAAAAAACTAATAGCAACAGAAAATTCGGTGACATACCTATATAAATATATATATATATATATATATATATATATATATATATATATATCGGATAATATATACAATAGCAATGGCAAGAAAGGAAGTAACGTTAGGTATGAGAATTCTATGCAAGTAATTATGCATACTTTTCAAGTGACATTTAACTGTTGCAGAATTAGTCACAAATCGTCAAAACAGTTTGTGAATTACAAAATTGCATATATATATGATTGAAATGAGACCTGCAGCAAAAGGAGCTTATTCGAGCTTAAATTAAATAAATTAAATACTTAATATAATAATATTTATAGCATATATACATAAATGGCATATTAGTTTTTACTTTATTGAGACTAAATCTAGTAAAATTGTGATTAATTTAATTAATAGCCTGCAAAACAGCGTTTTGAATGGTTTTCGCACTAACAAAGTGATCTTATATTATCTCCATTTGTCATAATAACAAAATTTACTTGTACAAAGCTATTATAAAACCAATTTGGATATACGGTACAGAAAAATGAAGATCCAAATCTAACTTGATAAAAATTCAAAAATGTCGAAATTAAATACTTAAAGAAATTTTGAATCCCCCAAAGTATTTACTAGTTATTTTATTTATTAGTCAATACAGCTGGAAAAACGTATTGATTGGTTTTGGAACCGTCAATACAGTGATCTGATATGATCTCCATTTGTTATAATAATCAGAGAACAATATTAAGGAAACCACATGAAATATTTGCGAGTGAATGCTGTAAACTGTTGTTTATGTTTAGAATAAAATATATTTAAGTTGTTTCAAAATTACACCAAGAAATAGCAAATGAAACAATAATAATTTTTGAAAAAAAATGTGTATAGCATTACAATATTAAACAATCATAAATATAAGTTTAATTGAAATTAAAAACAAACTTAGGAGCCAATTCTTGGATATAATTATTATTTTACCAGTCTCTTATGTAAAGAAATTCCATGGATTAGTCATGAACATATTGTCATGTTGTAATATTTTATGTGGCGTTTGTGCCATTTGGAGGTTAGGTTTTAGAAGTTAATATTGTGTAAAACAAGACTGCTAATATAAAATGCAAAGATAGATCTTTGTATACATGTAGTACACATGATAGATAAGCATTACAATGATAAAATATTATTATATATATATATATATATATATATATATATATATATTAGGGAGATCCTTAATATGGACATTTTTGAATTTCCTAGCTCTTAATGTTATCTTTCAGATAGAGCGCAATTCAATCAATGTTTTGCATGGAAATAGCATGAAAAAAATTTCAAAAATTTTCAGAACGTCGAATTTTCAATAAAAAATGACACGCATTTTCAGTTTTAATTCATTGGTCACTAAGTTATACCTAAAAAAAATTTTTTTTATTTCCATACAAAGTTTGATTGAATTGCGCACTATCTAAAAGTTAATATTTAGGACTAAAACTTTTAAAGAAAAGTTTTTTAACAATTTGGAACCATTTGAGCTATTGGGAGCAAGGAAATTCGAAAATGTCCATATTAAGGACTACCCTTAATATGTGTGTGTGTATGTGTAGTAGTATTAATATAACAATATTAATGATTACATGAAATATAGTAATGTTTTATGTATATACACTTTTCGGACCGCTTTTCAACTTTTTGCCATAAATTCCATCACTCTTCAAACCTGACACAGTCCTTCCAATTTTTCATTTTACATTTTCGTGTTTTATAACGTGCAGTTTTACTGTCATGTATAACACATCGGATCAGGTGTATGTGAAATATTTCTCACTCTTATTGAAATGTTCTGTAGAAATAACAGGGCGTAAACACTTTTCTGTGTAGTATATAATAGTCAAAGCATGTATGATGCTATTGTTATATTGTTTGCATATATACAATATTTATACTGATTGGCTGTGTGCCAATGCGCTGTCCGCTGTTTCGCAAAGATACACCTTAATTCGTTATGCAATAAAATGCAATGACGATTTGTTAACACAATATCTCTTTCAAAACCTATTTAAAATAGAGGATGAAGAGGAAACTTTATGTATGAATGGATGAATGATTGATAAATCAAATTGAAATTACCAAATGTAACACCAATACTCCAAAATTCAGAAAAGAAATTGATAGGTGTACCCTTAGCTACATAAACAAAGTTGAGCTGTACAACACCACGTATAATCTAAGACTGAGGAGAAACTTTTTAATTGATTAAACACAATTGTCGATAATACAATATATTATTTTAGTTTATTACACATTGCCTTAAAAAATTTATATTATTTTGATTGGCAATAAACCTATGCAAAAAAAGGTTTTACCATATTACGTATGTATAATTTTATGTATGTTAATGTTTTATGTATGTGTAGTGTACTTGATTCATAATTACATGAGCATATAATAGTTTCTTTTCTCTTTATTGCAAACAAAGTTAAAAATTCGATGTGTAGTAAAAACCATTGGATTTTTCTTTCAAAAAGCCACTGCTAATTCTCAAACCAATTACTAAATGTATATCCATAGGCAGATTGTAATTTATATGTACGTAAAAAAATATATATCCAAATTGTTTACCTAGAGTTGTTCATCTAAATTAATAAAAGCAAGTATTGTAAAAGTAGCGATTGCTAATTTTTTGTATTTATTTCTATGCACCTGTAATTACTATACCCAATTTATTATGGTACTGTATAAATATATGATTGATAATTATATTATTTATATCCTGCTATTATAATTATCGAATAATATTGAGGCAAATAATATTCAAACTCTCTTAGTTGAAACGTCAGTGTTCTGATGCCACAATACCGAGTAATTAAGTAAATCTTTAACATTAAAAATGTATTATTTATTTATGTACCATACGTATTTATAATACAAACTTCGTGCACTGAAAAGCTTATAAGTTTCCCTCACCTTCAAACAAGGTATTTATTAATTTCTAGGCAAGGGAAATTATTCAAGTTATATAAAAACTTAAGAAAACTGAGTTGGTATGCGTAAAACTCAAGAAGTCTTTAGTATATTAACAAATATATATTTGTGTATTTGTTTTATTTATAATTTGAAAATATTCCTGAATATGCGCTCATTAGGGTGGTTCTTAATATTGACATTTTCGATTTTTTTTGCTACCAGGGGTTCAAATGATTCCAAATTGTTAAAAGCGCAATTCAATCAAAGCTTCGTATGGAAATAGCATGGAAAAAAATTGGAAAATTTCAAAAATGAATTAAAAGTGACAATTAGTGTCATGTTTTACTAAAAATTCGACGCTCTGCAGAGCAGGCTTTTTGTAATTTGTCTTGTAAAGCGTCGAATTTTGAATAAAACTTATTCATTTGTTCAGTAATTTATATCGAGGATTTTTTTTATCAATTTGGAAGCATTTGAGCCCCTGGGAGCAAGGAAATTCGAAAATGTTCATATTAAGGACCACCCTAATGCTCATACATAAAATAAATTATGATACAGAATGCTCCGAAAATTACAAGCCTACAAATAAATTAGCACTATATAGTTTAGTTTGCAGATCAGACGAAACATTTCAATCTCATTTTCAATATAGTAAATTAATGAATTAAACAAGATAGATACATGAATTAAGACAGAGTACTTCAATCTTATTTGTAATATTTCTTTAAAAACATTGGACCTAAATGATTATGATATCCCTGAGTAATTTCGAATGGCGAAAAGAATAGCTTTGTGTTAATCATGGATCTAAATGCTCATTTTAGTCATCTTTTCGGTTATAAGATATCCTGCCACTGCATATATATAATACAGACAAAATGGAAAATAATTTATCAATAGACTTATTACAAATAGCAAACATTTTGAGGAAAATAATGACGAAATTTGAAAGGAAACGAAAGATGTATTATCTGTAGATGAAAGAAGTACAACTGAATAATCATTGAAGAGATAACGTAAAAGGCCACTTAGAAATATAGTCGAAGTAAATATATACTGCAATAATATAAATAAAAAATACATCATGAGGCACAATAAAAGGACGTGTGCATTTTCAGAATATAAAAACCAGTATTGGCGATCCATAGTAAGAAGAACTAAAAAGCAATTGCATTATTACATCAATAAGTGCTTTACTATTGTAATATCATATCAATGCACTTTCACTGAAACCATAATTAAGGTAGAATTATTGCATTATGTGTTATTAGAACTTCATCAGAAGGAAATCCATCGAAATGTCAGTGGAGAGAAAATATACTATAATAATCATCTTCAATGGAATGTAAATATTGAAACGATGCCCGAGAAGAATAAATGACGGTAGTGAGATGAATCAATCACGATTCCAACATTATGAGATTCTTCTTTAACTAACAGAAGTTATTGTTGAGATGAGATTAGGTATTCTTATATGTTCATCAATTAGCGGAATTAAATATGACTTGAAAATGTTACTTGTTTTCAATAATGAAATTAAGATATATCAGGATAGATTTAATGCAAATGTCATTTGGAGCGCAAGTAAAATATATAATGAACTGCCAATCGATATTAAGATGACCAGTGATGACCATAACTTTAAAAGGAAAATAAAGAAATATTATAAGAAAATTGAAGACGAAGAAGATTAAAGAGATACTTAAACATGTTTTAATTATAATAAATAGTATATTAATGTATAATAAGATAGTCAAGTAAAATATATATATATATATATATATATATATATATAAAATATGAAAACTGTTGTCATAATCTCTCATACCAGGCACCGCTGTCTGAATGAGATATGAAAATAGTACATCAATAAACAAAATCCGAAGTAAAATTGTATGTCAAACAAAACATTGTGCTTTGTAAGTGATTAATTACTATTTCTAAACCTTGATTTTTCACACTTGCTAATCTATAATGTATTTATATCGATAAATAACCAAAACGTTTTAATTAACTAAAAAACTTATGTCTAAACAATTCAGTATGAACAAAAGTTTAATTTGAAACAAAGTGCTACTAACAATAAGACAAAAATGTGTATTGACTGATAGTAAAACTACATTTCATAACTTACCAGAAAAAACACTTTAATAATTGAAGAAATTTCATAACTTAACGTTGTGCTTTATTGAATTTATTTTTAGATTTGAACTAAAAAAATTACCTATTGCCATTGCCTTGTTTATAGGTTAACATCTATGGAAAATTGATACTCAAATACCTAAGCTACACTCAGAACTCAATACTAAAAAAAACTTCCTGAAATATACGTGTGAAAGCCTCATAGAACCTCGAAAGTGCACACTTTTTTCACAAAATTTATCAATAACAATTTAATATAATTAAATTCACATTATGTTCTAACAATTTTATCACTGCCTTAAGATTCATAATTAAGTATAGATTTCAGATTAACTTCGGTCACTGAATATAAAAAACTTTAGCTTTTATTTTCACTTGTAGTATTTTGTAGCGTCACCTCTACAACTTAACTTTAAAATTTAACTTTAACTTTAAAAATTTGTCAAAGTTTGCAAAAATTGGTATCGTTCTTTGGGCATTTGTCAAAATTAGACCTTTCATCGACGTTTACTCAAAAACGTCTGAACCGATTTTAGAAATTCAAAAGCCATTTGATGTATCTCGATGAGGATTATCATTTCTCAGTTTTGTGCGACGATTGGCCGAGCCGTTCCTTTGTAATTTAGAAAAAAGTGTTGAACTTTTCGTCCACATTTAAGCTTATACTACCGAATCGATTTTAAAAAATCAAAAACTGTTCGAAAAATATTAGTTGAGAATGATACTGATTACTTTTAGGTGAAAATCTACCGAGCCGTTTTCTTGCAATTAACTGTTGAAAAAAAAATTTAGGCCGATTTTTATGGAACTTTTTGGCGATATATATTATGGTCTTATAGAACTTACTGAAATATTACGGCCTCACAACAAGTAGTTTAATTTTAAAAATTCATCAAAGTTTGAGAAAATGAGTAGCTTTTTTGACGTTTGTTAAAATTAAGATTAGACGATTCACTTGGTATAACGATAGAGCACTATGTCTTGAAGAACATAGTAAACCATTAAAGTGCTACGGAAACTGGTTCAATTATAAAAAATATTGATTTGTGAAAATTTGCTTTTAGAAAATACTCCGAGTTAACGTGTTCGTTCGTTTTCAATTATGAGTAATAAATCCACTAAAAATACTTTTAATTACTCATAAATTAATTTAGATTTTATTTTTATATCGGGATGTTTTATTATGAATGTAATGCACAGAATATCTTTCCCTAAACCAGAACTTAAACTTTGAACTGGATTAATTAAATTTTATGTTATAATATAATTAATTATTATAATCTTACTTTGATAGCTCCTATAGCTGACTGTTTACTGGTAAACGTGACAAAGGCGCATCCTTTGCTCTGTCCTTGAGCGTCCCTTAGTACAGTGCATTCTTCAATGGAACCATGTCCTCCAAACAGCGCTCGAACTTCGGACTCTGACATTTTCTTCGACAGCATGCCGACGAACAATTTGCGTTCTGTGAAACAAATTTCATACATTAATGTACATGAATTAAACCGATAGTAGTAAATGTATAGTGTAGTATTAAATATTGCGATCTTAGAAGTTAAGAAATTAATTGTTTTTGAAGATTTTCTGAATAACTATTACAGTAGAACCTTGTTTATTCGGACATCAGTTATACGGATTTGCGATTGTCCAGACTACCAACCGCGACCAATTTCTATGTATGTACATACCTACATTTCGAATTTTTGCATGATTAATGCTGCAGTTTAGTATTTGTATGTGATGTAATCTAAGAAAATATGTATGTACATACATAATGAAATGTTAATTTCTTAATAAACTTTGATTTTCGTTGATTTCCATGTTTGCAGGGCCGGTCCTACCTTTAATGCAGTGCATGCAAAAAATGCGGGCGCAAGCCTTAGGGGGCGCCAGAAACAGTTTTGGAAATGAAATTTATATTACATTATTTATCTTTTTTTAATATATTTTGTTTTAATAGTTTATTATAGACAATCTAACTTAACTATATATACAGACACACAAAAAGCATATTCAGTTTGCAATGCGATATAGTAGAAACAATTTGACCGTTTACTCTGCAAGTTAGTAATATATTGTTCTGCTTATTGTTTAATGTACTTATTACATTTTTCTTCGTATGTAGTTAATGTGAATTTGAAAAAAAAATATCTAGTATTTATCCCCTAAGCGCAAACCTACGAAAGTTTAAATTAATTATTGGACGTTATTGATGAAAAATTGCGAGCTGATTTAATTGAAACGAAACTTGTTAAAGAAATATATACTAATTATATTAGAGAAAATGAAAAATGGGAGGTCAGTGCTTAGAAAATGGCTTGTTTATTCCGAGAAAATTCCCGCAAAAACAAATCTTGCATGCGGGCGCTGAGGACCCCAGAACCGGCTCTGCATGTATGTTTTTATTATTTTTAAAAAGTGCACATTATTATTCATACATTGGAGTATTCGGATATTTTTCTACTGTATTGTTATTTATGGCTTTTGAGAAGTTCTGAACTAACGCCTCATTTTTTCCTCAAAATGTCATTATTTAATTTTTTATTTATCTCATTTTACGTTTCGTGCATAAGAGATGATTCTTACTTCAGAAACTATTAAACCAACAAAATATTCCTATATAAGAAAAAAATATTTATAAATTAAATCTATTTGCATTTCTCATACTATAGCCCATACCCTACATCATAATTTTCTTTAATACGTATGCCTAAACATTACCTCCTACGTTGTTATTCACCTTAGAACTACTACTATCATACTTTTTAGTTCCGTCACCGTTATACGCTCAATCCTTATCTTATAGCTAATGCGGCTAATATTTATTACCTTTTACCTATAATTATTCGTACTTTTTAGTCCCATCACACCGTATAAGCTCAAATCCCTATATCTTATATCTGATACGTCTAATATTTATTACCTTATACCTATAATTTTTCTTACATGCTATTTTTCACCCTTACCGGGAACCGAACCCGGGTCCGCCGCGTGGCAGGCAGCGACCTTAACCACTCGACCACCGTGCCGCTACGATCAACCATCTTTTCTCGCGTGTCGTTGCGTCACCTTAGGATTATTTACCTAATTAATTAGAAAATGAACCGCAGAAAGAACAGTGCGTCTCTTAATATATTAAAGATGGGGCACCCAATAGAGTAGTGGTTAAGGCGCTCGACTCTCACGCGGAGGTCCCGGGTTCAATTCCCGATATTGACAATAGATAGGTAGAGAATAATACATAGGGCGTAAAGTAAAATTATAGCGTATAAATAGTAGAAATAAAGGTTTATTACCAGTAGAAAGGTATATAGGGTGTATATATAATATATATATATATATATATATATATATATATATATATATATATAGACAATAGATAGGTAGAGAATAATACATAGGACGTAAAGTAAAATTATAGCGTATAAACAGTAGAAATAAAGATTTATTACCAGTAGAAAGGTATATAGGGTGTATATATATATATATATATATATATATATATATATATATATATATATATGTGCATGGGTATATATATATATATATATATGTGCATGGGTATATATATATATATATCCCCAATACATATGTATGTATATGTATATATGTATGTATATATATATATATATATATATATATATATATATGTTGATAAGCAAATAATAATCTAGTGGCAATAGATAGATTATAATGTAAGGTAGATATTGATGGTAGATTTAAGTCTTATAACGTATTAGTAACAAATCTTGAGTACTTTTATATGAAAATGCATACTCGTAGATGTTAATAAATACAATTGTGACACAATTTTACTTGTATAATTTAATGTATAGGCTAGCTCTATATAATAGAGTTAATCAATAAGAAATAAATATAAAAGTTTACGTGTAACCACCTGAGTTCTCGTCGAAATACATCGAATACCTTTTAAACTTCTGAAATTGGTACAGCAGTATAGGAGAAAAAATCTAGGAAATGTCAAAAAAGAGTCAAGAAATATATAATCTGGAATATATATCATAGTTTCTGGCAAAAATAAACCTCTTTTTCGGAATATATCGGTAATAAAATTAATTTCAATTTCAATTTTTATAACATGTTTCACTTATAAATTATACATCACACTTATGAATTTTGATCACAATAATAGTGATTTCTTAAGGATTAACTTTTATATTTCTTAAGAAACAAAATAATAATTTCCAAAGGTCAAAATTTCATGAGGGCCACTACGTTTTTAAAAAAGTTAGGGTGAGGCGTAACCCATAAAAACTTGGGAAGCACTGACTTAATGTAATCAGAAAATATTGCTAAAAAATAGATATTAATAATAATGTAATGACAATATTATTAGTGTTCTATCTCGAGAACTCCAATTTTATCTATATAATTTTTTTTGTAACTTTTTTCATTGTAATTTCACAATACTGTGACAAACTAATACTCTGAAAAGCCCTCATTTTGATCGCTAAAAATAATAAATTTTTATATTATATTTTCAAGTAAACTGACATTTAATAGGTCGAATGTGGGAGTGATGGATATTGGGCATTCCTTCACACGCAGTGCTCGAAATGGGCAATTTTCAATTGTAAACATATTTTTGATCTATATTCCCAAATGTAAATGGACATCGGTACTGCACGATATCAGGTTGTCTAAGGTGGACTTCGAACTCACGACCCCGCCCACACGAGTGAGCTTAACCATTACACCATTTGACCATCAATATCTTTATAATAGGAGTTTTAATAATAGTAAATTAGAAACTTGTACCCTATATAATCATTTTATAATGTACAAAATAATTAAAATTTATGGAGCACTTACTTTACTAACAAAAATGCTCAATCACTTAAAAATAGTAATTAAGCAGCAAATGATAAAAATTAAATTATCATATTATTTATATAAACTAAATTATTATTATATTTACATAAACTAAATTATTATTATTCGTTCCATTCATCAGATCATAATTTGTTTTACAATGTAGTACTAATTTGTATTAAATATAGCTAGTTTGCGACAGATGATATATGAGCATAAGCTTGTAATAGTTTTAGGCTTCAGCTAATCCTAGATCATGGTTCGTTTAGACTTCCAAAATAATAAATTTAAATGTCAACTAATTAAGTTTGATTACACTAATAATTTTAATCTCGTTAATTATAGTGCGATATACAGCAATTGCCTTTTATAACTCTTTAATTAATCAGCAGCATGTTATCCAAATAAAAAACTGCATATATATAGAACATACATTTTTAGTATATTATATTAATGATAAGGGGTAAAAAATATAATTTTTCAAACAAACTAAAAGACAAATAGCAAAATCAAAGAAATTCTTTAAAACATTAATTAATAAAACATGACTAAATTAAAATTTCCATAGCTGTTGCCTAAAATATTTTTTAAATATATTATAAAATATAAAACTGTTTTATATAAAAGAATTTTGGTTTTCAATACAAGAACTGTATTGTCCCTCAACTCCTTTGAATTGATTATAGTTGAAAGTTCAAAGTTCAACTGAGTTCTTAATTCAATAAAATTCACTACCAATTATTCAACAGAAAGAATAATGTATTGATGTTACAAACATTGTAGACGTCTTTATTGTTTTAAAAGAATATAATTATAAAATATTAGCAATTGTACAAATAGATTAATATGCGTCAATGTTAAATAAAAACAGCTGTGCAAACAGAAAATGTAAATATATTGCAAAATAATCAATACTTAATAAGATAAGAATTGTGACATAAATTGTTTTTGAATTAATAGAAAATATTTTAAAATGCCAGTTCAAATTACATTTTTTTTTATTTTGCAAATCTATAATTATTTTAAATCGGTGAGGCAAAAGAAACAAGGACAGCTGAATGAAATCTTATATATAATTTAACAAAATATATATGCAGTATTAAATACATAAGAGCATAATTCTTTAATATTATAAAATAAGCTTTTATTTTTTATCACGTTGGAGGAAAAAAAATACTAACACGATCGCGGACATGAATGCTATAGCATATTCATTTTCATTGTGATATATAATGACATGAATGCTGTAGCATTCAAATTTTGAAGTCAATTATTTTGGATTAAATTTTATATAAACTTACGTTATTATTATACCTGATCAAGGTGATTACTAACTGATGCTTTAAATTTTTTTGTATTATTTTATCTTTTCCCGCAGTCACTAAATAACTTAGGCACATTGCAAAATACTTGGCGTGGATGCTATAGCATTCATCGTATATAACGATTAAAATATCATAATCTAACTACCCTTATAAACGGTGTTTAATTAAATTTCGAATATCACAACCAATTTAAAAATAAAACGACTGACAATTTTTGTACTACACTTGATGCAAATGAGCAACTTTTGTTAATTTTTGATAGGTATAATTTTAAAAATGTACCGAATCTTAACTAGCGAATGAGAAC